GAAACTTTTACCCAAAAAGCAGCTTAGAGCAGCTCCTTTGGTGGGCCCCATACTTTACACATTATTAGTCTAATTTAATCAAATCAAGGCACACTCAATATCTAAGTTCATTTTTCATTAATGAATTGGATTACAGTCGGGGTTGTTGTTTCCAGATTTCAGTGGAGATTTTCTTGTTCTTTGTGAACGGTAGCGTTTCGGGCCACACAGCCCATAAATTAGTTAGGCAAACAGTGAAAGCTCTTAAGAGTTTTACTTAGCTCGATAGTCGGATAGAACTCTGGCCAGCTGGGCCACTTAGGAATGTGGCACGGCCTGACAAATCCCATCAATGCTAACGTGCTATCATCAAAATAGATCTGAAACTTTTCGAACTTGTTAAACTAGCCCATATGCATCCATTTTCATATTTTTATCACAGCAATATGGGCGTTACTTGTTTGAAAACAACTATGCCAATCTATTTTCATATATGTATGTGTATATATTGCCACCCCTAAGCCTCAGCTGTCAACTGTGCTTTGTAATTTATATTTACGCGCATTGGCCTAATCGGATATTGGGCAAATTTGCACGGAAATCCGTTTGCCAACCCTCTAAAAATATGATATGCAATTCGATTATTGGCAGACCCAACAAAAGATGCAAACAACAAAACATGATAATAATAATTGCAAGCAGACACGAGGGGATAACCAACAAAATATGAAGGTAACCAACTGTGAAGAGTGTTTTTTGCACTCAAGCCATTTTTTTGAATGGGTGTCAATGCGAATGCAGAGATACGTGTCTAATTTTCCATCTCACTGCTAAGGGTGAGTGGAGAGTTTTCAGCTTTCTCAGCAACCATCCAACCACATTTACATAAGATACATTTCACTTTCGTAAGGTCCCCATAAACGTTTTTACTACCTCAAAATATGCTTTGTAGAAATGCGTATAAGGCGCTTATCTAAACGGCAACAGTTGCGTGTTCTCTTAACGCCAAGATTTATTGCTCCTTTGCGGACAAGTCTATAAGTTGCCACTAATTAGTATTTGATAGCTGCAACGTTGCGTCTCTGAGTTCATCTGTGCGACAGATGTATCTAAAAGATACAATTAACTTGATTGATAGGCGCCGACTCTGTGAACGCTATTTAATGATCAAAATAAGCTGCCCACATACATAAATTATAATTTTAAAAAATATATATATCTATAACATAAAAAAGGAAACTCAATCATAAAAACGGCGTGGAACAGAAGTATGAAAAAACTATGATCCCCTGTCATATTATGTTAAATAACCACAAAGCTGTTCATAAATTTTATTATATGCCACACATTATTTTCATTGTAAGCATAATTAAAAGTATATTAAAAAAAAATGCCTTTTTTATATTTATTCATGAAGTTTTTTATGCGTGCTTGACATTTATGCCCATATTTAAGAAGAAGAAAAATTTTCAAAATTGTGTTTGTCAACTTATATTGAAGACTCGATCGTAAATTTTTATCATTATCGACTGTCAAGTCGGCGACAGTCTCCGAAATTAAGGCCGCATTTGCATAAATTGTGCGCCTTCAACGGTGATTAACCGTGAAGTTTTACCACAAGGGGGAAAATATTTCAGTTTGTCACATAACTCAATCGAACACCTTCCAGAACTCCTCATTTTGACAGTCATATTTTGACATTTTAATTATCGAGAGTGCGTGCCTTTCAGCCTTTTCAACGTGTCCAATAATGTGAGCAATTTAAAGCAGCTCAAATGCGTGCCTTGAATATGGAACTCACATTTTTGAATTTTGGATACGCTTTACCGTATTTTTATTTTTTGATTCTACGTATGCTTCCTGTTTCCAGCAAATATAATTTCACTGTTAGTTCAATGAACTGCCGAGCAATTTGTGTTTTGCCAGCTCATTTATTGTTCCATAAATGATCATTGGGAATTGTTATTGTTTATTTATTTCACACCTTTATGGAATGAAGACCATAATCAATTTATTACATTTGTACGCATTATCTTCGATTGTTTTACTTATTTAAAATAGGCTATATCTGAAAAAATTACTAATGAGTTGTGTTAATAAAATTAGCAAAAAAAATTTATTATTATTAACAAAATAATTTTCCTTAACCATAATAAGCCATTAAAATGTTAATTTAATGCAAATATGAAGTAGAAAGTGTAAAAATATACAAAAAATCTATTTTCGCACCTTTTTGTGCGTAGGCCCCGGCGAGATTCGAACTCACGATCTCCTGTTTACTAGACAGGCGCTTTAACCAACTAAGCCACGGCGCCACATGCAAGCAGTGTGCACAAAGTCGCAATATAATCAGCAAACGTGAGAGCGCACTAGTACGCTCAATGTTCTCTTTCAGTATTTGCCTCTTTGTTTGTCACATGAAAAACGCTTGTGAATTTGTTGTTGCTGTGTCATTGGGGGTTAAATTTAGCACAGCAACAGCAACGCAGAAAACTAATACCAATGGCCCAACGACAACAACAACAACAACAGAAGAAGAAGAAGAACATTAATTTTGAGCAATTCGTTCTGCGCGACTCTCAGACACACATTGAACTAAATATGTCAATGTATCCAAAAAAAAAAAAATAAAATAAAATAAAAAAATGAGATAAAAAAAAGAAAAATTACCGATGTTAACCCGAGCTAAACAAATTGTGTTTAAAACGGGGCGAAGTGAAATGCTACACCAAAAGCGCCATTTGGACACACACAAAGTGAAAGGCTGTCACTATGCTACTAACAACTCTTTACCCCTCCCCCCCCCCCCTCTCCCCCTCCACATACACACACAAATATACACACCCCTCTTTGCTCTAAAAATGTTTAACAAATGATCTGAAACGCTTAGCTTGTCGTTTAGTTTTTGTGTTTCTATTTTTTAAGGGGCTTCAATAATTGCTTGAAAAACAATAGTAATTACTCATGCTGACTTTTTTATATACCCTAACACAGGGCAATATATATTTGTGACAAAGTATTTTACATTTTGAAAGGATTATTTACATTTTGCAGCAATAGTTATAAAATCACATTGTGATCACATTATCTGTAAGGTAAATGCCATTTTCCCCGCTTCAAGAGTTTTTCATATTCGGTGTGCCGAAAATGGCATTTTTAGCTCCTTTTTTTTAGAGACTAAACCAATCTGCTTGCAGACCTTAACAATAATTAATGGCAGATTTTTTTTTGGAGCACTGGTGGAAATTATAAATCAAGCAAAAGTCAAAGTTTTACTTTTATCTGAATGGAACTTTATAATTTCCGTGTGTTAAATAAAACTTCAAGCATGCCTCAACTTCATTGTTGCTGTTTGTTTAGTTTAGCTGCAGATACAGATACGGATATATAGACAGAGATACACCAAGAGTTACAACTACGGATACGCTTGGCCGTAAATTGCAGACAGCTATTGATAGCAACATCTTCTTCTGTTTTTTTTTTTATAATATTTACATGTGAGTTTTTTGTTTTTACGCCGGGATGGCGTCAGCTTATCTTTGACACAGTTCTGCAAAAGTTCTGCGACATTCTTTATGCATTTACGAATGGTTAAAGTTTACGCCTACTTAAATTTTCAATAGGGAAATTTGCCATATTTTGTCAACTGTTTGTCAACATTCATTTGGCATGGCTCGTAAAATGCGTCCATATTTCCAGAAACAACTCACAAGATAAAAGCATATATATTCCCTTGCCTCTGTTTTTCGTGCCTCATTTTTCAATAACTTTCCCGGAGGCTGTTTTCCTTGCTCCCATGTAGGTTTATCTCCCGCTTACCATTTGCCATAGCTCATAAAATGCTGACATAAACTGAGAAACTTCTATGAATATTTTTTTTGCTAGCGCCATCTGCTGGCTGGCAGTCGAATCAGCTGCCCCTTTATGCGTGTAATTCGTAGCTGATCATTACAGTAACGTAAACAAGTCTTTAAAGAACCAACACACTTTCAGTTTTCTTTTTGGCGTCAAAAATCAATTTTTCCATCACTCAAGTGGGCACTCAATGGTTTTTGGCAGCAGCCAAAAGTTTGAAAACTCCAAGTGTGTTCCGGCATCAACTCAATTTCCTAATAATCTGATTTGGATTTTTTTTCATTTTTATTTTTTTTTTTGGTTTTATGGAACGAGTTGTGGTTTTGAACTGCTTTGATGATCTCCGCGGCAGCTGCTAGGAATTGGAATTCAATTGGTGCAGCTTAAAGTATTTATAAAAATCTTGTTTATTATGAACAAAGTGCAGAAGGTTCATTGAACGTGTGTGTGTGTGTGTGTGTGTGTGTGGAGTGTCTTTGTGTGTGTGTGTGCTTGTTTGTGGCGGCAACAAAGTGCTGACACACTTTGGCCAGGCAACCACAGCCAACAGGGAATTGACAGTCGGGGCCCGGGCGGGCGGTCCCATCGACCACACAAGTGGTTTGACCTTAACAATGCGGCCTGATCTTGAAATTTATCCAGAAACTGAAGTGCGGCAATTTCAATTAACCTCCAGATGCGCCATTTATAACCTTGCCACAGTGCCACATTGCATTTGTAATCACAGTTGACAAATTTCGCCCAGCAATTTTGTGTTCTATGATTAAGTGCGAAAACTCGATTGCCCTGCTGGCTGGCTGCTGACCGGACGTATTTGTCTTCTCTGATTAAATGTTGGCTTATTGCTTTTATACATATATATTTCTCATGTGTTTGTATTTAATTTTTTTTTTGCTTTTAATGCAAGCTGCATTGCTTGTTGTTGCAATTCTTCTTCGTTTCTGACAGCATTCAAAAGTGTCGGACATTTAATTAACAGCTTTAGTTGGATCTGGGTTTTTGGTTTGGGCTTTGGGCTTTGGGCAGTCCACTGACATCCTGACACACTGGTTATGGGTCGGCTAATCAAGCGGCTTTTGTGCAGCTCGCAGCTCGCAGCTGGCAATTGATTGATAATTAATTAATACTTATGCCCTGCTTTCTTTTATTTTTCTTTTCTTTTTCAGTCATACTGCTACGCTCTTCTGTGGGTACGGGGGGTCACATTAAGATACGAAGTGTGGCAACCTGCTTGTATCTCTGCATGGATGCTTGTGGCACAGTCTATGGCTCGGTAAGTAAACAAAACTTTCATCTTAAATATATGACAATTAAACAATATTCAATAAATATATATATATTTTGAATAATATATTTGTATATAGTTTTAATCCTCAAACTTTCCATTCCCATCTATTTTGGCAAAACAATTTAACAATTCGAGGCTTAAACTTTAGACTAGGTGGATTTATTTAAAGTATATCTTTATTACTTAAGATATATGCTTTGTTTTAAATAATGCTCAAAAGTCTTTTAGTTAGATAAAAGTGCTTCTCATTTGATTAATTTTATCATTTCAAAGTAATCATTTGTGCAACTCGAAACAGTTTTTTCAATGCGAATTCGTGAATTTTCCCAACAAACTTTGGCATATCTAAATTTATATTGATCCGCTTGGGGTATGAGAAAAAAAACAAATCGTTCATCGATTGTTTTCATTGTATTTCATATTGTTGTTTCAATTACAATTATGTGGCGTTATCTTAAACTGGAGCGGCAAATTTCGATTGTGCTCAGTGACAAAGGCAAAACAAAAAACAAACAAAAGGTCGGGTTGCAGGCTCAAATAAATAAGATTCCGAAGCGCAATGCGATAAATAACAAAATTAAGTGCGCCGAGTGAAGTTGAACAACAACAAAGAGCATCAACAAACACAAGATGTCCTGTGACCAACCCTTGTCCTTTATTTTTGGGTTTTGCGATAGTTTTTTGTTGTTGCTTTTTTTTGTGGTGCACCAAGTGGGAAATGAGAACGGTCCTGGCATGTCCTGTCGATAATTAATGTGACACTGCGGCAAGCGCGTCGCATTTCCCAACGCCTTTTCGAGTGGCGCCACAGCAACTGTAACTTGCCGTTTGTTGCCTGTGGCGAGTTGGGCATTTTTGTTAGTGTCTGCGCCGCCCTTTGACCTTTTCGCATGCATAGACACAGATATATACGCATTTGTGCCAATTCTGTCAGGCTGACACTTGCAACTGCAGAGAACCGTTTGCCTCTTGGGTGTTGATTGATGCGCTTCAGCAGCAACTTTGTTGCCGTCTTTCGCGACGGCCGACGGCCCTTTGAAGGCGCCGCCACAGTGCGCATTGCAAGCATTTTGAATAAGTTGGTCAAGAGGGCGTTGCCCAATTGGGCGGCTTTTGTTTATTTTGGCGACCATCCGCCAAGAATCTGAATCTGAATCTGGTAATCTGTTTCGTCTGCACTGCACATTTTGTACAAGAGCCAAATTGATCTAAAATTCAAGATTTCCACACAGTTTTGGTTTGCCCCATTCGAATTATGGTAATAGTTTGAGTTCGGTTATTGTACGGCAACGGAAGTGGCAACAATTTGTTTTTGGCTGACAATCCAATTTCCTTTTCTACTCTTAGCAATTAGGTGGTTTTCTTGTTCCTTTTCTTTTGTTTATTTTCTTTATATTTATTCGATTTTGACCTTTCGGTTTTAGAGAGGAATACATAAATATTTAGTTAACATTTTATTTATCGCAAGCTCTTTCCTAAAAACATCTGCTAATTTTATAGTTTTTAATATTGTTGATTGCATGCAAATATTACAGATATTTATTCGTTAAAAAAAAAAACATTGCATGTAAAATCTAGGAATAATGTCAACAAATATTAAAAATGTATTTTGCTTGTTATATTATTGTAATGTTTAGAAAGTGCAATTCAAAGCAAACAAAAAAATAAATAAATAAATAAATACAAAAATAGATCCCAGCATGTGATTCAAATAGCACTTTTAAATACATTTCCATTTGTGCCGTGTTCGCGGTCATTTCTAAATAGATTTGCATGCACATGTGAATTGCGTTGCCCCCAACCCCTCACCTTCCCCTCTCTTTCACTCTCTCTCTCTCTCTCTCTCTCTCTCTCTCTCTCTCTCTCTCTCTCTCTTGTCGCGATCTTGTGACCGTGTGGCAGCTGATTTGATTAGCCGGCTAATGGGGCAGCTAATTGAAATCCCCAAACGTTTGCCAATTCATAAATTTGTCGAGGCCCAATGTGAAAGTCGTGATCGTGTTTGTGAGTCAAGCGTCACAACGGTGTTGGCCAATTAAAATGTCTTGGCCCTATCAGAGCACATTTAAATATGCCTATTAATCTGCATAACTTGTACGCAGCGGCAGGCAACCAAAAAAAAAAAAAAAACAAAAAAAGAGGCGACCGCCCGCGGCGATCAATTAATGCGCAGTCATCGTGCTGTCTGTAAGACCAATGAATATGTTGCAAGCATATCATTGTTATGGTCCTGTTCGGCAGATAAAGCAGCCAAAAGAATGTTGCTGCTGCTATTGTTGTTGTTGGAGCATAATAATTTGTTTTGGACATTTGGTTTGTAGGCGTGCGTTCAACGATGATAACCCTTGACCTTTTTCACCTGGCGCCAGCCTGATAAGCGCTGAGAGTTCAGCTAATGCCTCTCCGATACAGCTAACTGCGAACAGCTTCATTCCATTTCTCCATCCTTTCGTGCTGTAATTTTCACTTAACTTGCTCTAAAAATAGCGCGGAAAAATGATAGGAAAAATCATAAAAGCAAGATTGCAGACGTCGAGACATGCTTGTCAATGTCTCGCACTCGGATGAGGCCCCTCCGCATTGGGTTGTCTCTCATATGTCAAAAATGCGTGTGTCTCTGCGTGTCTGCCCTTTGAAATGGCGTCAACATTTTAAGCCATATTTTGCAGGCAACTTCCCCAACCCTTAATGTATCCATTTGATGGCTCATTTCATATCAAATTGGTGTAGCCGGGGCAGCCGGCGCGACATTTGCCAGATTAATTTCTAAATTTAAGCGGCGACATTTCCACGAGTTTGTCGCTTTCGGGCAAACAACAATTTTAATTGCCTGACAAGCGAATTAATTCAATGTTGTTAATTGAATTTGATCTGCCTGCTGTTGGGGTAAAAAATAAATAAAAAATAAATAAAATAAATGAAAACAAAGCGTTGCGGTGCATCTAAAGGCCAGACATTCAGCCCAGCCCAGCCCAACGCAACCCAACCCAACCTGATCCGGCCAGCCAGTCACGCCAAATCCTTTGTAGCTGATTTACATTTCTACCTAAACGAAAATTGTTGATGTCAGCGACTTGTTTGTCGTCCTTTTGTGCGGCTGTCATCTGGCATTCATAAGTTAGGCAACTTTATGACCACGGTCAGGGTCAGGGTCAGGGTCAGCGTTACGAGCTGAAGGCGTATATCGATCGCAAACGCCGATTGCGAGCGCATCCTGTGATAATGGGCACATTTATCTAACAGATATGCCTCTTCTCTGAGATACAAAGGGCAACCGACAAACACCCGACACTTTGCCAACTGTAGGTAGCCCCAAAGTATTTAGTCTTTTCTCTTCTTGTTAACTTATGTGGGTAACATTTCAGAGGGTTTCCTGCTAAACTCAGCCCAGTTGTTTGTTATGCATATGAGAAACAATCAACGTCGTCATCAGATACTCGATGCTCTCTACGAGTTGCCAATAAAACTCTCGATACATAAGCATCGAATGTATTTAGAAAATACTTAAAAGCAGCGTGTGACTTTTCTTCTTTTTTCTATCTTTTTTTTTTTTTTTAATTTAGTCAGTTGAGGTAGCATTAGCTCAATGTAGATTTAAATTATTTGATATGCCTATAAGTACCTGTTGCTTATTGTTTGCCTGTTACTTTGAATGATAATATCAATTTGACGTGATAATATTGTATTTAAAGCAAAACGTTGATTCGATTCGCATCATTCTTTCTTTTATTTGTTCAAGCGAATCTGTTGTTAACTATTTTATAGCCAAATAATATAATTCTAGTTCTCAAACTATTACAGAGATCCTTCACCGACGACTGTGTGTTCTACGAGAACATGGATCCATCCAGCCACAATTTCTACTCCTCCGCATACAACTCGAATGCGAGGCGGACATTGTATTTGGCGCTAAATCAACATGGGGCACCACGTCGCACCAAACTCCCGCCCAACCGAACATTGGGAAGCCTCTCAAAATACATGAGGGCGCTCAGCGAGGCGGTGCCGGAGCAGCGTGTGGATGAGCTGATTGTCAAGTATTTTGGGCCGATTGGTGTCAATCATAGCATGCGCGGACGCTGTGATAATGGCGAGGTGGAGAAACTGCCGACCCATGCTAAGCACTTCCAGTCGCCACCACAACCACATTGCAACAGCAGTAGCAATAGCAGAAGCAGCAGTAGCCGCAGCAGCAGCAGCAGAAGCACCAGCAGCAGCAGCAGCAGCAGGAGAAGCAGTAGTAGTAGTAATAGTGGCAGTAACGTTCCTGCAGACAGCGCCAGCAGCCTGATTAGTATTAGTAACAATAGTCAAAGCGACAGCGGCCATATTAGCAGTAACCTTAGCAGTAGAAGTAGCAGTAACAATAATAATAATAACAGTAACAGCAACAGCAACAGCAACAGCAACAGTAACAGTAACATTGGCAACATTGGCAACCAAAAGAATAAGAGGAAGAAGATGCGCAGGTGTCGGCCACATGAGAATGAGGAGCAACACAATTGCCATAGGCGAATCGGAGCTGGAGCCGAAGGTGCACCGAATGCTCTGCGCAAGTTTGGCACCAAGGCAATGCAGCAATGCAGGGAGCGACGCGAGGAGGCAATAAAAAAGGGCTTAACGCCGCCCATCTGTCGCAGGAAGCCGGGTGCGGTTGGAGCAGCCAATGCTGCCCACAATCTGCAGAATGGTCAAGCAGCCGGAGCCGCAGCCGCAGCTAAAGGCGCAGTGACAAATCCGCGTGGCAGCAAAAAGAAACCGCCCAAAGCAGGCGGCAACAATCAGCGGCCGAATACAGGCGCCAAGAAGCAGCGTGCTGGAAATGCCAATGCAAAACGCACTGCTGCCAAGCGACAGCAGCGTCTGCTTCAGACGACGACAACAACAACAACAACAACAAGAAGAACAATAACAACAACGACAACAGCAATGGCCAGCAGTCTGGCAACGCCTGGAGACTTCAATAGTTGGCCGAGCAGTTCCCCAATGCCCGCCTTGGCGCTCAGCGAGACGAGCGATCGGGTGGAGCGCAATGTGCGAATGACGCCGATGGCCACCGAGCACGATGAGGACGAGGCGGCTGAGGAGGAGGTGGAGGAGGACGAGTTTGATTCATTGGAGGAGGGCAGCTACGAGGATGCCACACTGGAGGGGCATGTGCGGGGCTCCGCTGGCGACGAATCGGTCTACTTTGATCCGCTTGATTTGTGAGTTTGCCCAAAAAATCAAAAACATTACAAAAATATTCTAACTTCATAATTCTCTACCATGCAAAATTTAATTCGTTTTTTTTTTGTTTTTCAAAATTTACCCAAAAAAAAATTCTTAATATTTTTTTTTATTTATTTGGCATTAACTTTTTCGACATTTTCATTTCTCACATTTTGTACGGTTTGCAAAAAATTAAATTATTGGTTGTTGTGTTTTCTTTTTTCATGTTACGTGATTTTTTCCAAATTTTATTTACTTTTTTTATTTGGTTTTAGTAGTATTCATTAACTGGTTTTCTAAAACGTACAAAGTGTGGAAAGATGTTTAATTGATGATTTTATTTTTTGAAGGCATTTAAATGTAATTGCAATAATTATAATTGCTATTGGGCTCATATGTAAGCTCACTCAATAACTAAGAAATCGAGCAAGATATTGTAAAAGATTGGCTTGAGTATGCGATATTGTAATTTGCAAGTTTTCAAACACACACACACACACACATACACACACACACACACACACACACACACACACACACACACACACACATACACACACACACATACGCATTACAATGCACATCACATTCATACACAAACGATATCACTCTGTACTTATGTATATCATTTATTGTATACCCAACGACTGTGGTTCAAAAAAGTATTTTTGAAGCAGCGCACAGATATCGATAATTATCGACAACCTGTTTTGCGTTCTGCCTAAATCAATGCAATCGATAAAGAAAATGAATATCAAACAACAATGTATTAACACGGAGTCTCGAGTATTTTCTTTAAGAATTTTCCAATTGGCACCCAAAACCCATCAAGCAAATGTATAAAAATATGAAATTGCACTCACATACTACATATATATATATATATATACATACATATACATATGTTTTTGAACGAACAAATTAATTAAATAAATTATTTGTAGAATTTACAGTGTATTTGAAATACTTGAGTCTCTACTAAAAACTGATAACATGAATAATTCTCAAAAATACGACCACTCAGAAACTCTACAACAAAACAATGCAAACTTGCAAATATTAGGAAAATTGTTTTCCTTACGACTTAATATTATAATAAATACCCAATTACATTATATATATATATATATATATAAGTATTTATATATATATATATATATATTATAATATAAACAGCAAGAGTCTAAATAATGTATGTCTAAAATGTGACAAATCGAATATTTCGCATGCGAATAGTTTTGTAAATAGATTTACAATTAAGATTCATCAGCTAATTATTATATATAAATATAACAATTTATTTTTTTTGTTGTATTCTCGAAGTCGAACCTCGCTGCCTCTCAGTGATTAGTTTAAGCTGTAAACAAATCTTAAGTGCGGCAGAAATGATCAATTTAATATTGTTTGAAAGCCATAATCGATCCAACAAAGCCAACAACAACCGAAAATTTATAAAACAAAAACTCACAAATCAAAAATTGTATTTTAACTAAATGTTTAGACTAACCTGTAATTGTATATTTATTGAATACGAAAGCGAAAAATGTGCGTGAAATTATTTGATATAATTTTAATTTACTTATAAGACATAGATTTTTTAGTGTATTTATTTATTATATTTTAAATGATTATTTTTAGATTGTAAGCCAAGTTTTGTAGACTAACAAATTTTATTTATAACACAATTTTATGCATTAAAAATTATTCAAGTTAAGAGCTGCAGATCGACGAAAACAGCATGAAAAAAATATTAAAATAAAAAAAAGCAAATAAAATCTAAACAATAAAAAAAATTAATATAAAACGTGCGTTTTTGCAAGTGGATTGAGATTAATTTAAAAAAAAAGTAATATTCTAATGGTAAGCGTGGCGTAGTTTGAAAAATAGCTTTAAAAACTTGAATATGAGTTATTTTTTTTATTTGGGTTGTTATATTATTTGCATGGTCTTAAAAAAAGTAATTAGTTTATTTGGCATTTTGCACATAACAAAACACAAAATAAATTATATGCAAACTACAAAATTGCATAGTAACATTGAACTGATTTTCTGCATGGTTTCAGCGGCATGCAATTCATTCAGATGCCCAAATACTCTCTCCTCATAATACCCTACCCCAAATGTTGCCTAATTCTCTTCTATGCACTTTCCAGCCTCCAATTGTTGTTGCTGCAACTGATCACCATGTTTTGGCTAAAACGGAGTGCCTCCCTCTGAGCACCGCCCCGAATTGAAATGGATGTACTACCACCGATCCGCGCAAGCTATAGTTCCTGATCAAATAGCCATAAGTTTCGATTTATAATTGTACATAGCCTTAATGATAGCACTTAGATATAGCCCTACTTTGTGTTGATTAAACAAATTTCTATAATTTAAGACTGAGAAAAAAACAAAAAAAAAAAAGAGAAAAAACAAAAAGAAAGAAAGAAAATCAAATCGCATGAAATATATTATACTATGCTTAAAACATTCTAAAAATATTAATGTTTCTTATTTGCTCTATTTCGATGGTTTTTTAAACGATCTATAGAACCACTTAATTTGCTAAAAAATTTATGCGATTTGCTGGTTTTTTGTTGGTTTTTTTGGGATTAGTAAATCGCTCGACAGCCGCCAAGAGCGACGTTCAGTCATTCATTCTATAAACAAGCAGCGGGCGGTGGGCGGTGGGCGTTCTATATTCTATGTTCTGTGTTCTGTGTTCTGTTTGTTATTCTAACTGATCCCGAGTTCTTCAGTGGTTTTTTAGGCACTGTTTGTTGTTTCAGTGGGCCATCCTTATGTGATTTGTATGCATTGTGGCACAGATACAGATACAGACACAGATTATTTGGCTGCCTAACTGTTACCTGAGTGTTATCAGCTGCCGAGAGAGCTAAAGCTGAAGCCGGAGCCACAATACAATGTCAAAGACCCTACGGCTGGGCGAGCGAGAGAGAGAACACGTGTGTCAACTGTCACGATCATGTGACGCACAAATGTTAAGCATACGTAGCGTGTGCTCCAATTGAATAAATATTGCGAATTGCTTTGTACAACAGAACAACACAAAACAAAACAAAACAAAAATAAAATTAATATGGAGAGCAAAAAGCACAGCAAACAGCAGTGTGGAGGAGACTCTGCACCCCTAGACACAGCCCCATTTCCATGTGTGAGACTTGTCACGTAGGCCTTGAAATTGCAAATTTACGAATACCCGTCGTCGTCGTTGTTGTTGTTGTAGTTGTTGTTGGCGATCGCTCATGTTCCCACATTGGCATTCATTCACTCATTCATTCAACGCTGCGGAAATTTTTGCTTGAATTGACGAAATACGAAGCACAAGGCAATCACAGCAGCCGCACAAACAGCCCCTCAGCGCTTAGCAACAAACCAAAAACATCATTTTTGTTGCGCTAGAAATGGGACGGGGGCGTGTCTATAGCAAACACGAAATAACGCTAAACACGGCTCAAAACGATTTGCTACGATTTGCTAGTCATAAGCATAAAAATGGCAATCAATATTCAATTTCTTTTTTCACTTATTGGAATTTTCAATAGGATAATATTAAAAATGGCAAAACTACTTTTTTTTTACATTCTTAATATAAAATGGCTATCAGAACTATATATATATTTTTTAACAAAAGGGTGCACCTTTATTTACTTTTTTTAATTTATTGCCATTTTCATTTGTGAAATCAATTTTCTTTTTTAATTATTTCTCTGATGAATACTTGGATTTTTCGTGTTTGCCGGTTGAAACAGATCGCAAGCCCATCTCTAAGCTTTTACAGCAACAATATCACAGATACTACAGAAGCATAAGCGGCACATCATAAAGCTTGATGACGTCGCATTTGGAGGCACGCGCATTTCCAAAAATTTACCGTGACTTACCAGCGAATCTGATGATCATTATGACACGGCGATGGTTCGCCGTTCACCCTTCATCGTTCCTCTCTGCCTCTCTCTACTCTCTCTCTACTCTCTCTCTCTCTCCTTGCTCTGCGCTCTCATGCGCATTGCGCTGATTTTGATAATGGAAGTCCAGATAAGCATTGCCAGATGGCGCCTGCATTGTTATTGTTTCTATTTACCTTTCACTTTTGCGTTAATCGCGTCAGCTGATCGACGACGACGTGCGCGTTTCGACCGACGCGTTGCCATCGCCATAATCTCCAATTGGAATATTGCCGAGAAGCAGTTCTCTGCTGTTCCCTTTTGAACCATTGGATATGGTGTTTGGCTTAAATAATAGTTAAAATAGTTAGTTAGCTGCATAGGTTTTAAGTCGCGTGGCAGTTGTATCAACATTTGAATTAGATTATATAATATACTTATTGGAAATGAACGAATCGAGTTGAAACATATATATATTAAAGGTCATTTGAACTTTGCCTGTTTTTTGTGAACTGAAGTTGAACAATATTGTTTTTTTTATTGGTTGGCTCATTACTTAAAGTCATCTCATGCTATTCATCTGTTAGCTGATCGATATTTTCAAAATTAATTAACTTTTCGATAATCTATCGGAGACTCTTCACCTCCCCATTTAGGGTATTTCCGTTGCGACTTTCCACAAGCAATTGCGAATTGCACACGTTTCAAACATCGACGTCGGCAATTCTGCTCGCTTTGCGACTTTTAGATTGTTATGTTTGTGTGTGCTTTGCTGCTTGTCTACGTGACGCATAGAGAATACACCGTTTTCAGACCGAATCACAAGTGTCGTCGCCGCTAAAACACCCCCCCCCCCCCCACACACCTATACCCTTCGCCAACAAACAGCAACAGCTCCATTGTGAAATTTGAATGATATTGCCAAAAAGAGAATGTTCACATTTGATGGGACAAGAAACAAGAATGTCATTAACCGGTTTTCTATTCGTCATTCATTGAATAAAGCAAATAACTTTCGATTTTACTAAAGCATATTTAAGATAGTTATCTTTGATTTATTTACAAATGTTTATAGTTTTTCGACAATTCAAAAGAGCTAAGAAAAAGAAAAAGAATAATTGAAATTGTTATTGACAATTTTGTAAAGAAATAATATAAATATGAATATTATTCAGAAATCAACAAGCTTTGTGTGTTTATTATTATAAAAAGTGCTGAGAATTGAGTTC